CTTCAAGAGAGATGTTAACGTGGCTGTGAACCAGCAGCAGGGTCCTTCACAGCCACTGAGGATGGCTGAGAGCTTCCAGCAAGATGGTCTCAATTTATTTGAAAGCCAGCATGGGTTCAGATGGAGAACATCTCAAAGCTGACAGCTTGGCATCCCAGTTGTGCCAACCCCTGTGTCAGGCTCCTGCAGCTGGCCACAGAAAATCAGAGCCACACGGTTCACACCACTCCAGTTTGACTCAGTGGCCATGTGCAGGAAACAGCCCCTCTGTGCTCGGCAGGCTGCTGCCTCCCGCCCTGCCCTGCATTATTAATATACAAAGTATTAAAGCTACTTACAGTAGAAATCTTCTTTAACCCGGCCTGTCGGGAACCATAAGGGCATCGCCTCCAGGCTCTTCTGTAACTTTGGGTTTATATTTCAAGGAGTAATTTGTGCGTAGGTCCGGGAGCACAGGCGCAGCTGTACATACATGGAGGAGTTGCCTGTGATAACTGCCCTGACTCAGACTAAAGGATTTTTCACCATAGTGGAAAAAATAGCTTGGCAGGTGGCATTACCAAGTGATGCTGGTGCAGGGCAGATAACATGCTCTTCTCATTTGTCTGCAAGGAAGTGAGCATGCAGGCCGTCACGCCGAAAGCTGAGCACGCTTCCAACTCTTCTTGGATGATCAAAGCCTGTGCCTGTTCGTGGCACCCTGGCACCCTGCTCTCCCTCTCCCCAATCCAACTCTGCAGTTGCTTTCCCTCCCAGAAAACTCACGAAGCCGTGTTGACCGATTGCGCTTTTGCACACACAGCAACAGCATGTAGGCTGTATAAGCAGGGAATATGCACGAGGTGTCTGATGCAATTCGACACTTTTTATTTAAAACCTGTTTCAGCATCAGCAAATGCCAACTGATTAGCTGTTAGGTAGCAAATTATTTAGTGACTCTGGAAATATATTTAGTGAGGAGCGGCACCGTTTTCCCTAATTGTCTACCACATGGAAATGAAGCTGAGCAAGCATCAGAAGCAACTCTAAAAATTAACTTGCAAGGGTTTCTGCAGCACTCTGCCCTCTTACAGCTGCTCGCTAGCTTGCTTTCACTCGCTGCGGAGTGTGGTGCCCTGAGCTGGGCGTGGGACACGGGCCAGAGGAGTTAAGCCCTCCCAGCGAGCACCCACAATTGGTCAGTGGGAGAGGAGTGCTGGGAAAACAATTTTATCTGCTGCATATTTAACTTTACTTATCTGAAGCTTAAAGCAAACTCTAGGCTTTCCCCATCTGTCAATAGAGCTTCATATGGAAAGAACAACATAGGAGAATTTAGTGCCAACCCAGAAGGTCAGAGGATATACTGTGTTTAATTAGATTAAACAAAAAGTGACTGATGAGCTCAGTGCTTGCTGTACATTTTCCCTATAGCATATGGCATTCCTTTAATGTCTGCTTGAAGGAGACGTGCCTTTCTGGGACTGCCTGTTGCCTCCCTTTCCCAGCATGGACGCTGATGGAATTTGACTGGTGTTACTCCCCATGCACGGAGCCAGCGGGGTGCTCTTCCCTTTCCACGTGTTAAGCCAGAGAGATAGGCAGTAACTGATTTAATTTGCTGAAATTATGGTTTCCTATGGTTTTACGGGACCAAACATTCCTGGAAATAGCGGGAGCTGGAGCTGTATTTCAGTGCTTTTTATTAACTAGAGCATGCGCCATTAGAGGCAAGATTACGTACACATCTGGGGCAGGGGATGGGGAACAGTGGGAGCAGCATTAATTTAATGATTTTTCCCACTTCTGGAAAGAACTTCAGCCCCCTTCTCCCAGGAAGATCCCAAACTAGCCTAGGATCAGAAGAGATGGAGAAAAACTGTGAGGAGACAGTGGTGTCACCAGTGCCCACCACTTTCCCTGGCTTTAGTGGAGCTGCTGCAGCCCAGGGGCTTGCCCGAGTGACACCCTGGCTTTCCCTTCACTTTGGAGAAAGCCCCGCTCCTGTGGCACGCTAACATCCAACCACCTTCGGTGCTCCTTGCAGAACTGAAACGCGTGGGTGGCCAGGCACCCCTCGGCACACCCCCAGCTGCCCACCCCTTGCCAA